GAGGGGTATTATGTTTACTACAAATGGTGTGGGGAATCATGGGGAGAACAGTGTAACACACAGAAGTCACATAGTGGATCTGTGGGATCTTGCAGCACTGATGGACAATGACTGCATTGGGGTATGAGTGGGGACTTGATAATATGAGTAAATGTAGTAACCACATTGTTTTTTCATGTGAAACCTACATAAGAGTGTATATCAACAATACCTTAATAAAAATTTTTTTAAAAAGAGTAGAGGAGGGAGAAGAAGAGAGAGAAAAGAAGCTTTAGATAGTATTTGAAATAAAGTAATAAGAAAGTTAAGTTAGACTGTTAGATAGTAAGGAAGCTGCCCTTGAACATTTGGTAATCATGAATCCAAAGCCTGCAATGGCAATAAGTACATATCTATCAATAATCACCCTAAATGTAAATGGACTGAATGCACCAATCAAAAGACACAGAGTTACAGAATGGATAAAAAAACAAGTTTTTTTCCAAAAAGTAGAAGAGGAGGAAATACTTCCAAATTCATTCTATGAGGCCAGCATCACTCTAATACCAAAACCAAAGACACCACAAAAAAAGAAAATTGCAGACCAATACCCCTGATGAATATAGATGCAAAAATACTCAACAAACTATTAGCAAACAATTAAAAAATACACATAAAAGATAATCCTTCATGATCAAATGGGATTTATTCCAGGGATGCAAGGATGGTACAACATTTGAAAATCCATCAACATCATACACCACATCAACAAAAAGGACAAAAATCACATGATCATCTCCATTGATGCTGGAAAAGCATTAGAAAAAATTCAACATCCACTGATAATAAAAACTCTCAACAAAATGGGTATAGAGGGCAAGTACCTCAACATAACACAGGCTAGATACAACAAACCCACAGCCATCATCAGACTTCACAGCGAAAAGCTGATAGCTTTTCCTCTAAGATGGGGAACAAGACAAGGATGCCTACTCTACCCACTTTCAACATAGTACTGGAGGTCCTAGCCATGGCAATCAGACAACACAAAGAAACAAAAGGCATCCATACTGGTAAGGAAGAAGTGAAACTGTCACTGTTTGCAGATGGCATGATATTGCACATAAAAACCCCTGAAGAATCCACCCCAAAACTACTAGATCACATATCTGAATTCAGCAAAGTTGCAGGATATAAAATTAATACACAGAAATCTGTTGCATATCTATATACTAACAATGAACTAGTAGAAAGAGAAATCAGGAAAACAATTCCATTCACAATTGCATCAGAAAGAATAAAATACTTAGGAATAAACCTAACCAAGGAGGTGAAAGACCTATACCCTGAAAACTACAAGACACTCTTAAGAGAAATTAAAGAGGACACTAACAAATAGAAACTCATCCCATGCTCCTGGCTAGGAAGAATTAATATCGCCAAAATGGCCATCCTGCCCAAAGCAATATACAGATTCAATGCAATCCCTACCAAAATACCAATAGCATTCTTCAATGGAACCACAAAAGACCCTGAATAACCAAAGCAAGCCTAAGAAGGAAGATTACGCTCCCTAACTTCAAGCTCTACTACAAAGCTACAGCAATCAAAACAATTTGGTACTGGTACTAGAACAGACCCATAGATCAATAGAACAGAATTGAGAGCCCAGATATAAACCCACACATATATTGCCAATTAATATACAATAAGAGAACCATGGATATACAATGGGGGAAATGACAGTCTCTTCAACAACTGGTGTTGGCAAAACTGGACAGCTACATGTAAAAGAATGAAACTGGATTACTGTCTAACTCCATACCCAAAAGTACACTCAAAATGGATCAAAGACCTGTAAGTCATGAAACCATAAAACTCATATAAAAAGTATATGCAAAAATCTCTTGAATATAAACATGAGCAACTTTTTCCTGAACACATCTCCTTGGGCAAGGGAAACAAAAGCAAAAATTAACAAATGGGACTATATCAAACTAAAATGCTTCTGTACAGCAAAGGCCACCATCAGTAGAACAAAAAGGCATCCTACAGTATGGGAGAATATATTCCTAAATGACTTATTCAATAAGGGGTTAACATCCAAAATATATAAATAGCTCACATGCCGCAACACCCAAAAAACAAATACCTGATTAAAAAATGGGCGGAAAATCTGAACAGACCCTTCTCCAAAGAAGAAATTTGGATGCCCAACAGGCACACAAAAAAGATGCTCCACATTGCTAATTAACAGAGAAATGCAAATTAAAACCTCAATGAGATGTCACCTCACACTAATTAGGACGGCTAACATCCAAAAGACAAGCAACAACAAATGCTGGTGAGGATGTGGAGAAAGAGGAACCCTCCTACACTGCTGGTGGTAATGTAAATTATTTCAACCATTGTGGAAAGCAATATGGAGTTTCCTCAAAAACTAAAAATAGAAATACCATTTGACCCAGGAATTCCACTCCTAGGAATTTACCTGAAGAAAACAAGATCCCTGATTCAAAAAGACATATGCACCCCTATGTTTATTGCAGCACTATTTAAATAGCGAAGATATGGAAGCAACCTAAGTGTCCATCAGTAGATGAGTGGATAAGAAAGATGTGGTTACATATACACAATGGAATATTATTCAGCCATGTGAGGAAAACAAATCCTACCATTTTTGCAACAACATGGATGGAGCCAAAGGGTATTATGCCCAGTGAAAATAAGCCAGTTGGAGAAAGACAAGGATCAAATGATTTCACTCATTTGTGGAGCATAACAACAAAGCAAAACTGAAGGAACAATACAGCAGCAGACTCACAGACTCCAAGAAGAGTCTAGGGGTTACCAAAGGGAAGGGGTTAGGGAGGGTGGGTGGGAAGGGTGGGAGAGGGGAGGAGAGGGGATCGAGAGGCAGTATAATTAGCACTCACGATATAGGTAGGTCACTGGGAAGGCAGTAGGGCTCAGAGAAGACAAGTAATTACTCTATATTTATATCTTACTATGCTGATGGTCAGAGATTACAATGGGATGGGGGTTCTTGATAATATGGGTAAATGTTGAAACAACAATATTTCTCATGTGAAACCTTTATTAGATTGTATATAAATGATACCTTAACAAGAAAATTAATAAATAAGCAAAGAGTATATTTGAACAATAACTTTTTTGAAAGAAGGAATGCAAGTGGCCAAAAAGCATATGAAGACATGCTCAACATCATTAGTTATTAGAGAAATGCAAATGAAAACCACAATAAGGTACCATTTCCTGCCTACTAGGATAGCTATAATTGAAATGATGGAAAATAACAAGTTTTAGTGAGGATAAGTGTTGGAAACCTTATACACTGATAGCAGGAATTTAAAAGGGTGCCATTTGGAAAACAGTTCCTCGTTTCCTCAAAATATTGACATATGACAGCAGTTCCACTCCTAAGTATATACCCAAGAGAATTGGAAACTTGGGTCCACCTGACAACTTGTACACAAATGTTCTTGGCAGCATTTCAAAATAGATAGGAAATGGAAACAACCAATGTCCATTAATCGGTGAATGGATAAATATGAGATATCCATACAATGGTAAATTTACCTGCCATAAAAAGGAATGAGAGATTGATACATACTACAACATGGATGAACTTTGTAAACAATGTTAAATCAAAGAAGCCAGTCACAGAAGGTCGTGTACTGTATGATTTCACTTATATGTCAAGTATCCAGACGAGGGATAGAGACAAAAATCAGATTTGTGGCTGCCAGCGGATGGGGTAGCAGGGATTAGGAGTGATTGTTTACATGCGCACAAGGTTTCCAGTTGGGAACTTGAAAAGTCACGGAACAAGATAGTGGTGATGATTGTGCAACATTGTGAATGTATTTAATGCCACTGAATTATACATTTTTAAAATAGCTAAAATGGTAAATTTCACTTTATGTGTATTTTACCACACATGCAAAAAAACTGCAAAAGGAAAAAAAGATTAACCTTGACTCCAAGGTACCGAGCTCTGAAGACAACGCAGCCTTTCTGCAGCCCCCGTAGCCTCCAAGGACCGGAAGGTGGGCTTGGGCCCTGGGCGGAAATCGGCTCCACCCCACGAGGTCACGCCTGCGTCGGGTGGGGTCACGCCTACGACGGGTGGGGACGTGCAAAGCATTGTGGGGCTCGTAGTCTCTCCCGCGTCAGAACACGGGAAGCGGGAAGATCCTGTTTTATGTAAATCTATGTAAATACTCGGCCCTTCCTAACGAAGCCTCGCTTGCTTCCCTCGCTTCCCTGGCCTCCCTCTCCCTCCTATCCTTCCCCACCTTCTTTCACCGAGAGTTTGAAAGTTCCCGCGAACCCGGCCCCCGAGTCCGGAACGCTCGCGAGAACTCAGGCCCCCGCGCCGCGCTCCTCTCTCCTCCCGGTATCCCACGATCGCCTCCTCTATCCCGCGTGCGAAGCTCGGGCGCCGGCCCAGGGTAATTCGCAGATCCGCGCGGCCGCTGGCAGAGCGCGTGAGGCAGAGTCGCGGCCGCGAAGACCCGGAACCGCGGCGCCGGCTTCGGCTGTGTCTCAGCAGCTGAGCGTTCAGCCGCCTGCAGCCGGCGAAGGCTTTCGGGCGTGGGTCTGAGGCAGCCGGGAGGGCGGCGGCGACGAGCAGAGAAGCAGTTTCCGCGGGCGGAGGTGTGCTCCCTGCTTGTGACCGCGGTGTCTCCCGGAGATGCTGTGACGGACCCGCGCGGGAGGAGCTCGCGCCCCTCGACTCGGCGGCCGCGGCGGTCGGTCACCCGCCCTTGTCAGGTAAGGTCGCTGAGGAGCGGCGCTGCGCCGGCGCGGAGGGCGGTTGCGCGGCCTGGCCCCGAGAGGCTCGGCTTCCCCTCCTCGTTTCAACCGCCAGCCCGCGCGGGCCTTGGCCGGGCTCGTGCCGCGCGGCGAGTAATCCGGCGAACGCGCTCGTGGCGGCTACTGCGCGATCGAGGCCTGGTGTTATATAACCTCTCGGTCGAGCGGCGGAGGACCGCAGCGAGGCCCACTCCCTGAGCCCGCAGCCGCCCGTTATTGCCGGGGATCGCGGCGCGCCCCGCTCGCCGTTCCTGAATGCGGTGGAAAAGCAGGCGGGCCTCCTCCCGAGGGAGCCCGCCGTCACACCCAGCCTGTCTTGCGTCGGCGTGTCGTCCACATGCTACTGGTTCCGGCCATGGTTAGTGCAGGGCCGGGAAGAAGTTTGACTCGTGATTTGAAATGTGTGGTGCGTTGCTGAGATGGAGCAGATTAAATAACAGGATACCTTAAAGTGTATATTTGAAGTGTGTATTAATATGTCTTACTTTTCCCACCTCGGAGCTGGAGGACGATTACTTTTGTTACTGGTGGACTACGTGGGGGTTGGGGGGAGGTAGGTTAAATTGTTCTTAAAGCCAGAGATTCCTATAGCTGTTATTTTACTTCAAATAGTTTGAGAAATATTTGGAAGAACTTGGGTCCTTTAGGATAAAAATATAGGTCTCTTGGAAACTCTAAACTTAGGTTTATTCTGAAAATATCCTAAGAGCCAGTGGGTTTTTAAGAACCTTCTTTGGTGAGCTTTCACTGGTTGGGTCTCCGTGAGGAGAGAAGAGATTAGGGTAGGTTTGCTTATTTTGGCGAATTTGGCCAAGGATGACTAGCTCAGCTCAACTTAATGCTTGAGGGATGCTCTTCAATATGCTAAGCGCTAAGGGAAGTCCACATTCTCTCCGTACTGTAATTTTTTGTCCTAATGTTTCATTAACCTTGTACCGAAGTGTCATTTCACAAAACGTCAATATAATCTTTTTTTTTAACTTAAAGGTTTACAGCAGTTTGGGGTTGGACATATTTTCACTTAAGAGAAAACAAAATATTGTTTCCTTTTTTTTCTCCTAACCCTGAAAATTTTCAGAAACTCCTTATTTTTCCTCCAGAATGAAGTCTGACTTCCCTAGATTAGGTCACCGGGCTCTACAGTAAGTCTGTTCAACTGTCCAGCCTCAACTGTTAACAAATCTATGCTTCAGCTATTCCAGAATCATCCCGAATCCTGGGCCCATTTTTTTTGAAGATGTGCTTCGATGTCCCTTTTCTTTGCTCACATCCTTCAGTCTGGAGGGACATTTCTGCCTTTTTCAAGTTCTGAAATTTCAAATCCTCCTTAGCTTTAAATGCCATCTTTTCGAGCACTCATATTTCCTTTTATCCCACTTCTCTGGGTTCTCAGCATATATATATTTTGTAATGCTGATTCTGATTCTCTTCTAGAATGTAAACTAGAGGTCAGGATGTAAGCCATCTTTTCTGTCTTGCATTCCTTTCCCAACTACAATGTTTTAAAAGTTATTGGCAATTAATAAATTTTGAATTAAGTTTGAAAGGACAGCTGCTAAGAGACTTTTAAGTTTGTGGATCCAGTTTTTATTTAAATCATAATTCTTAGTCTTTTGAAGAGTCAAAAAGAAAAAAGTAAAAATGCATATGAAATGTCTTGAAGGAATGTTTGCTCTCTTTATATTGCAATATGATTGTTGAGCAACTAGAGTTTTACCTTAGTGGAATTCAGCTGCTTTCCAGGATTGTCTGTATTTTACCCAGGCCTGATTTCTTGTCTTCTTTGTTAATATCTTTCCTAGTAATTATGTGAATTTTTTTTGTTTGTTTCTTAATACTGAAACTATACTTGGAAATAAGTTGGACCCAATATTAATTTTTTTCTTTATAGTAGACTATTTTTTTAGAAGAGTTTTAGGTTCACAGTAAAATTGAGTGGAAGGCACAAGGATTTCCTTCCTTCCTTCCAGGGAAAGTATACTTCTTCCCTGCTCCCACTCATGCATTGTTGCTTTCCCCCCTTATCAACAACCCCCACCAGAGTGGAACGCTGTTATAATTAATGGACCTGCAATCGATACATCATTATCACACAAAGTCAGCAGTTTACATTATGGTTTACTTTTGGTGGTGTACGTTCTGTGGGTTTGGACAAGTGTATAATAACATTTATCCTCTATTACAGTATCATAGACAGTAGTTTCACTACCCTAGAAATCCTCTGTTCTGCCTATTCATCCCTCCCAATCTGCTAACCCCTTGGCCACGACTGATCTTTACTGACACCATAGTTTTGCTTTTCCCAGGAATGTCGTGTATTTGGAATCATGCAGTATGTAGCCTTTTCATATTGGCTTCTTTTACTTGGTAATACTCATTTAAGTTTCCTCCATGTCTTTTCACGGCTTGACAGCTTCTTTTTAGCACAGAATAATATTCTGTTGTCTGGCTGTACCACTGTTTATCATCACCTACTGAAGGACATCTTGGTTGCTTCCAAGTTTGGGCAGTTATGAATAGAGCTGCTATAAACATCCAAGTACAGGTTCTTATGTGAACATAAATTTCAACTCCTTTGAGTAAATAAATACCAAGGAGTGTGATTGCTGGATCAAATGAGAAGAGTATGTTTAGTTTTGTAAGAAGCTGACAAACTGCCTTCCAAAGTAGCCATACTCGTTTGCATTCCCATTAGCAGTGAGTGAATCCCTGCTGCTCCACATCCTCACCAGCGTTTGGTGTTCTCAGCGTTCTGGATTTTGACCATCATAGTAGGTATCTCATTGTTTTAATATGCATTTCACTGATGACATATGACGTGAAACACCTTTTCACATGCTTATTTGCTATCAGTATATCTGCTTTGGTGAGGTGTGCGTTAAGGTCTTTGGCTATTTTGTAATTGGGCTCTTCTTGTTGGGTTTTAAGTGTAATGCTAAGTTTTTAAAAATTGATTTTATTGTTTAACATTTCTATTCATGTCCCTGGTAGTATCTTGCCGTCCTAACTTACCACATGTTTAGTACCTATTAGTTGCAAGGCATTGTAATCCTCTGGAATTAATGGAAATAGGACATGATTTTTTTAATTAAAGTATGATTGATACACAATCTTATGATGGTTTCACATAAAGAACACAGTGGTTTCAACATTCACCCATATTACCAAGTCCTCACCCCCTATATCGCAGTCACTGTCTATCAGCATAGTAAGATGTTATAGAGTCACTACTTGTCTTCTCCATGCTGTATTGCCTTCCCTATGACCTACCTATATTGTAATTGTGAATTATAGTGCCCAATAAGATATGATTTTTATAGGAATTCATAGTATATTGGGGAAGACAGGCAAACACTAGTAATGGATTTCAAAAATCATATTGAGGATTGCTAACATAAAAGTGGAAAGGAGTGAGCTCAGAGATGAGCTTAAAAAGGAAAGGATGGATCTATCCAGACCACACTGGGAATCTATAGTCTTTGAATGATGGGTGGGACTTTGTCAGATATAGATGGAGGAGGGAACAGCATAAAAAAGAATGAAAGTGCTAGGCAGTAGCAAACTGAAGGAGAAAGTGGTTTTGGGAGCCAAGGATTAAGGATAGTCTTGGGCTGTCATCTAATGAAGGACCTTGATTGCCTGTCACTGAGGATGTTAGTTTTTCTGTGCAGTAGGGAGTCATTGAGGGTTTTTGAGAAGGGGAGTAACAATCCATCTGTGTTTTATCAAGAAAATGAATAATATGTTCACTGACAACTACCACAGTGTTCCTGCTCTGCCTATTTAGACCTTGGTAAGGAGTTGAAACTTTGTAAATTACTGTTTAGAGATTGCCAGTGCTGGCATGTCATAAAGCTTAATTTTGTATAATACTGAGCGCTGCTTAATGTGGGTTTGTGAGATGTTCATATGAGATGTTCTTCTAATATAATTTTTAGAATTTCTCCTCGGTGTTCTTAAAATACTAAAATTCTCACCGTAAATTTGGGATTTGAAAGGTCTTTAAGTCAATTTTTGCCCTGTAGATTCAAATGCTATCTTGTAAATTTGAAAAACATTTTCTTTGCTTCACTGAACATTTTTTAAATTCCTTTGTGCTGGGACCCGTAGGCCAAGAGTCAGAGTATTCCCCTTTTCTAGAAGATTGGGTGTGGCAGGAAGGAAGACAATGTAGTAGCATTTCATGTTACTACTAAGTGTTAGTAGAACCTGGACTTAGTATGATTTAGTTTGTGACTTTACTAATCGTCCAGGTGAAGCCTGTGATTATTGTTCTAGTTGGTATTTCTCAGACAATAAGGACTTTGAGAAATTTTTCCCTTGACATAGGTATCAATATATTACGGAAATAATACCAGTAGAACTAAGGGGGTAAATTCCTTTGACTATGCAGAAGCCAAGTCTAATTAAGTGGAAGGACTAAGAAGTAAATTATAAAATTGATATCCTAATCCTAAGAAACAATTTAATTTGAAAGGTGAGTGGTGAAATGAAGATAGAGGAACACTTAGGAAGGGGCTAATGTACTGAGGGTAGATAGGAAACTATAGATTCAGCATTTCCTTTTTGTGCATAAAGAGCATTTTAGTGTGGAGTAAGCATTTAATATTGGTTGAATTAATTAAAAAGTAGACTCGGAATTGATAAACTAATTATCCATTAAATATGGGAGATTAAACAGGAGGATTACTAAGGAAGTTGAGCAGCTTTAAGCATTCAGATTTCGATAGTGTTTTAATTTTTAAGTTTCTAAGAATAGCACTCATTTAAATTGTTACAGTGTTAACCTTTTGTGGATGTATCTGAGCCACAGGCTGGATCTTTGGGGTACTTAGAACCTTTTAACACTTGAAAACATAAAGGCATGGTTTAGTGCATTGCTTATAAAGATCTGTGATGGATTACTGCAATAAATTGTTGAATTTATGTTTTCATATGGCAACAAAGAATATAACCCACTCACTGGTAAATTCAAGATAATAAATGTTTCACAAAAAATTCTACTTCCATTTATTTTAGATTGTTAATTTATTTAAATTTTATTTCACAGTTTTATTCCTCCACTTTTAAGTTTCTTTTTTACTATTTAAAAGTCTCACATTTGGGGATTTAGTGAACAAGTCAAGTGGCTCTCTCTCACTCCCTGAGATTAATGATTCTTCTCCCTTGAGTATTTTCTTTCTAGACCATTGTTTCTTTTTTCCCCAGAAAATGTTTTTATTTCCATATGTTAATTATCTTTTAGGGGAGTCATTGACATAGTTGTTTCCTCAAAAATAATGTGTGCTGTGCTCCTTAGAATTATAGTATCAGTTGATGTAAAGATGAGGAGGGATAGGACACCACAGGACAGACAAG